ATTAAAAAAAAAAAAAAAACATGATAATAAGAATCAGCATAATCTGAATGAGAATAATCATCACTTAAATATTAATAATGATCAGCAGCAGCATAATATGCATAAAAAAAAAAACATGATAATAATAATCATCACTTAAATAATAATAATGATCAGCTGCAGCTTAAAAAGCATCATTAAAACAAAAAAAAAAACATGAAAATAAGAATCAGCGTTAATAAAATAAGAAAAATCATTATTTAAATATTAATTATAATCAGCAGCACAATTATAATAAGAATAATCAAAAAAAAAAAAAAAAATATAATAATCAGCACAATAATAATAATCATCAACAAAAAAAACATAATAAGAATAATCATCACATAAATATTAATAATAATAATCATCAAAAAAAAAAAACATGATCGTAATATTCAGTGTTATCAAAATGAGAATAATCATCACTTAAATAATAATAATGATCAGCACAATAATAATAATCATCACTTAAATAATAATAATGATCAGCAGCAGCTTAAAAAGCATCATTAAAACAAAAAAAAAACATGATTATAAGCATCAGCATAATCTGAAAGAGAATAATCATCACTTAAATATTAATAATGATCAGCAGCAGCATAATATGCATAAAAAAAAAAAACATGATAATAATAATCATCACTTAAATAATAATAATGATCAGCAGCAGCTTAAAAAGCATCATTAAAACAAAAAAAAAAACATGATAATAAGCTTCAGCATAATCTGAATGAGAATAATCATCACTTAAATATTAATAATGATCAGCAGCAGCATAATAAGCATCAAAATAAAAAAACAACATGATAATAAGAATCAGCATAATCTGAATAAGAATAATCATCACTTAAATAATAATAATGATCAGCAGCAGCAGCATAATAAGCATCAGAATCAATCATCAGTTTCATATTTTACCCAACAAACTACCAAAAATTGCCCCATTCCAACACCATAAATTTGTATGGACTTGGGAAAATTTTAGTGCCGGCCAATTTAAAAACGGCCGGAATGAGTTTTAAGAAATATACCGCAGAGGACAATCATATAAATTCTAAATTCGACAAACAGCCGAATCAGCTGATTCAGGGCCTAAAATATACATCGGATTTCAGGGGACAACTTTTTAATTCGGTCGATAGAGTTAATAGATTTTCATAGCCAAAAAAAAAAAAAAAACCTATGGCAGGACGTAGCTCATTAAACAATAATGTCACTACATAACTTATACATTAATAATATTTATACCTTAATAAGTGTACACTAAAAATTATCGACACAAAAAAAGTAAAAGTTTAAACAATATTACTAAAATAATATAATTTAAAATAAATACCAATGTATCGGATAGAGTGATTTCATTAATTGACCGTTATCATCTTCAAAAACATTTCTACATTAAAAACGAATACATACAATATTAAATTCGGTACATACATTTCGGGGGGCGCACTTGGATTTTCGCGGAACACGCTTCGTGTCGGGGGACACGCTTTTCTGGGTCCAGAGCTGATTGTTATGTCCGTTACGATCGCGAATCACGAATTGAGATCGAATTAGAATCCAGAACGGATTATGTTTCATCAACGTTACAAGCATCAAAAAAAAAAAAAAAACATGATAATAAGAATCAGCGTTATCAAAATAAGAATAATCATCACTTAAATAATCATAATAATAATCAGCACAATTATAATAATAATCATTAAAAAAATAAACAAGATAATAAAAATCAGCATAATCAGAATAAGAACAATCATCACTTAAATTATAATAATAATCAGCAAAATAATAAAAATAATCATCAAAAAAATAAAACAAAACATAATTATAATAATCAGCACAATAATAATAATCAGCGTTATCAGAATAAGAATAATCATTACTTAAATAATAATAATGATCAGCAGCAGCAGCATAATAAGCATCAGAATCAATCATCAGTTTCATATTTTACCCAACAAACTACCAAAAATTGCCCCATTTCAACACCTTAAATTTGTATAGACTTGGGAAATTTTTAGTGCCGGCCAATTTAAAAACGGCCGGAATGAGTTTTAAGAAATATACCGCAGAGGACAATCATATAAATTCTAAATTCGACAAACAGCCGAATCAGCTGATTCAGGGCCTAAAATATACATCAGATTTCAGGGGACACACTTTTTAATTCGGTCGATAGAGTTAATAGATTTTCATAGCCAAAAAAAAAAAAAAAACCTATGGCAGGACGTAGCTCATTAAACAATAATGTCACTACATAACTTATACATTAATAATATTTATACCTTAATAAGTGTATACTAAAAATTATCGACACAAAAAAAGTAAAAGTTTAAACAATATTACTAAAATAATATAATTTAAAATAAATACCAATGTATCGGATAGAGTGATCTCATTAATTGACCGTTATCATCTTCAAAAACATTTCTACATTAAAAACGAATACATACAATATTGAATTCGGTACATACATTTCGGGGGGCGCACTTGGATTTTCGCGGAACACGCTTCATGTCGGGAGACACGCTTTTCTGGGTCCAGAGCTGATTGTTATGTCCGTTACGATCGCGAATCAAGAATTGAGATCGAATTAGAATTCAGAACGGATTATGTTTCATCAACGTTACACCGTCCGTGATTATTGGGTGTATGACATAATATAATCATATATTGTATTGTTGAAAAAGTAACATCATCATTTGAACTTGGCTCAGAATCGTTTTTTCGTTAGCAGTGATTTATCGTTGCTTACAGATATACATTAAACCTTCTCAACTTCCCATCTGCAATAGTGGTGCAACCATTTGCGAAGTATGCCCGTCCCTTTTTTTTTTTCAAATTTCTTTTGTTATAGTTTATTTGTTCTCGACATTTTTAATTTCCGTCAAATGGTCAACGAGAAATTACACTTTTTAGTTTCAGTGGGGGAGAGGAGTGGTGTATCATATATGTGGTGACACGGTGTGTGGCGTTTTAATAGTATTCCACCATAAATTGATTTAAACTAATAATTCTATTAATGACGTTTTTAAAATAGGTAGCTAATTGAAAATCAAAAGTAGGTAGTGGTTACACACCCTAAAATAAGGACGACAAGAAAAAGAGTAATCTGACATTTTATGGCTACTTTAAATGTTCATAAAAGCTAATCCGGACCAAAAATGAATATTTTCCGAGATAATGAGTATCTTACGTTATTCTAATCACCTTAAATAGCATACACAATCAATGCAATAGTTTCTTTTTTCGAGCGATATCATTTTTTGATGATTTTCTAAGCGGCTTTCATAATAATATGGAAAACCGCGAAAAAATTCAGGAAAAACGGGAATATTTACGTGAATGTTTAAAAAACACTTCGCTCCAAATCGTTTCTCATTAGAAATGGGTCATCGTTTTGTACACAGATATAAATTAAATTCCTCTCTATATTTTGGTATTTATAAAACGATCGATATTTAGTATATAAGAAATATAAGTAGATATACAAAAATAGCGTCAGTTGCCGCGGAAAAAATAATATCGTTAACGAAACAGTCATACAAAATATACCATGCATTTTAAATAAAATATTATATTTGAAATTCACAACTTGTATATAGACAAATAAAAAATAAAAAAAACATATTTTAATTTTTCGCTCCAGAGCATTGCAGGTCTCTCGTATTATCTCCCATTGTAATTTACTAAAGACTAAAAATATTATACGGAATATACTGTACAAATATTAATTTTGTCTTGTATATTTGTTTAAGGTAAAATCAAAAAATTCTGTTTTTTCAGAATAAAATGTTTACAAAAAATTAATGACAACAAAAATGTTTGAACTAGTTGACTGAGTAGCATATAGTCCGATAAAGAGTCGATCGAACTAAATGATTTATTTCAATGCGTACCCGTATCGATTTAATTAAACTTCATATTGGCTTTGATTTGTTTTTTAGATTCTGAGCGAATTTTGTACATTTCTCTTAGAAATTTTCCTCCAATCAAAAAATTACAGGAGACCTTTTTTTGTTGCACTTTGGCTTTAGTTGGTACTTTAAAAAGGTCATTTTTTGAAATTATCATTAATATTCGAGATAAAAGAAAAACTGTTTCTTTAGGCTAAAAAAAAAAATAAATAAAAAGACGGACATACGTTGCACGTGGGTGCAGCCACTGTTGTAGGTGGGAAGTTGAGAAGGTAGGATACAGAAGGGAATTTAATGTATATCTGTAATCAACGATAAACCATTACTAACAAAAAAACGATTTTGAATGGATTACAGTTGATAGTGTTTAAGTATAAAGGAAAATAATATAAAGATTGATAGTTAAAAAAATGTATTGAAATCGAAATTTATTTTATTTTAATATACTTTGGTCTTATAGTATTACATTTTCAACAATGTGCGTTTCCATGAAAACAGTAATTGTTTGAAAATGGTTAATACATTAAAATAATAAAAACTTAATAACAATAAAAAATAAAATAAAACGGTTACCAATGACAACCTTATTTTTGATCTTTCAAAAGATTAAAAAGGTGCCATACTTGATAAACGGAGTAAGTTTTTTGATAGTAAAAGTGTTCACATAAAAAAAAATATAAACATCATTATGAAACCAATACAATCCTCGCTCCGCTCAGAATCTAAAATAAGGTTGTCATTGGCAACCGATTTATTATTATTTTATTATTATTAGGTTTTTATTATTTTAAAAATTCGTATAATCTTTTTTAAATAATTATTGTTATTGTCTTGAAAACGCAAATTGTTGAAAAGTAATACTACTGATCGAGTTCCACTTAGAATTATTTTTCGTTAGCAATGGTTATCCGTTGTATTAGAAATATAAATTAAATTTCTTTCTATATCTTAACTACCCAACTTCTCACCTAAAACAGATGTTCACCTGTGGTGTGAAGTATGTTCGTCTTTTATTAGTTTTATCTTGTTAAAATATATAGCTGTATAATAATATCATGGTTATTTTAGTGTATAAACTATAATAAATTGTAGACTAAAAAAATTGTTTTTAAGTAGGTCAGAAGTTGAGAAGGTGGGGGACACTATATGAAACGATAAATCATTGGTATAACGAGTGACGTTTGGAGTTCGGTTATACATATTTTAAAATGCTGTAATTTTTGCGATCTAAAAAATTTTAATTTGAAATGCTTCTAAAATTATAATTATTAGATTAATGTTCCTGATATCCGTCATTTTGAGTTTGAAGTCCTAACCCAAGTCGTTTGAGATTCGTTTTTTCAATTTGTCTTGTCGCTAGAGCTTCATCTCTTGATAAGTTATTCACATTTGGTGATGGGGGTGAAAACTGCTCGGTACATCAAAAACCGACTGTTTTCATTTCATCATCTAGACGCAAAATGCACTAAATAGACATAGTGAAGTCAGTAATAGTTAAATTAGAAGGCTACTTCGGGTTTGTCAGGTTATTGGACCATCAACGGTGGACTGTATAAGGGGAGAAGTCGCTCGTCATGAGCACGGAATTTCCTTCCGCAGGTAAATGTTCATGGCATAAGACAATCACTTAATCACCAAGTCACTCTATACTATTGATTATGTATACTTAGTGTTTACTTGATTTGGATGGGTTTAACTGAGTTTCGGAAGAGCTACGTCTCCCAGACACTGACCAATTTTCGTTTATGCAAATGGCGTGTATATTTTGTTATGTATACTGGCATAAAATTATATTTAAAATATGTACTGGGTATTCAATACTATATTATCATAAATAATTATTAAAACAAACCATGCGAAATACCTAAAAATTAGATAAAATCTTACATTTTTTTTATCTCGACGAAAAAATATTTAAAATATTTAAAAAAACATAATTTTATTATGTAGTTATATACAAGGTAAAAAAAAAAAAAAATAGAAAATAATGATAACCGTTATTGTGCACATTTTCACAGTTTTTTCGGTTATTCCTGATTATTAAAAAGAAGACTTCTTCAATGCACCAACTAGACATCATTTTCTACCAAAAACAAACCCTAAAGTCGATAATCGGTGCAAGATATCTAGTAGAAAAGTTGTTTATATAGATGGAAAACAAAGCACAAAAGTAAAACATAATTTTTATAACCCAGATATTGCTTTGGTTAAAAACAAAAAACAAAAATAAAAATAATAAAAATGAAGCGTCTATTTCTTTTATGTCGAAAATATACCGAATAATTGTTCGTTTTAATTTTACTATTCCGAAATTATAGGAATTGGAACTTACCGTTTAACCAGATACTTTTGTTACTTCAGTGAACGAGATGCGGAACATTATTAAACTCCGCACGATTATAGTAAAAAGTATAATAATTTATGAACGCTATACAAGGAATCTAAGAAATAATATACGTAGGAGGTATAGGTACTGTAGCTGTATAGGTATAGGTACACAGTTTGTAGAGTTTTAATTAAATTTCAACTTTTTCAGATACCGCAGCCGCCGCCGCGCCTTTCAGTTCACGTGTAAATAATATTAACGACCGAAAATCAAGTTTATTATGTAGAAAATAACTTTACACCGAATACCGCGTAAGAAATATCTGATAATATAATGCCACTGCATATATTATTATTATTATTATATTTTAGCGACGAGCATACCAGCTACCTCTCGGCGTGGATCGATTACTTTTGGTAAATTCCCGGGCAAAATATGTTTGACGATACTGCATCTTATAGTTCATGACTTATGTATTATAACCGTGACATTCCGTATACGTATAGGAATACATTGAACATATGAAATACGTTATGATGAATTTTATTTACGAGATAGGAAAAAAAAATTATACTCTCGGTGTTTTATACACTGTTAGTCCAATAGAAATTTTAAATTATTAGGTACTATAGACACTAACTAATCAGGAAGAAAATAAAAAGCCTTTAATGAAAAAAAAAATTACTTATAATAAGTCACATTGATATTGCCGCGCTGAGAAAAGCAGACGAGACAAATTTCTTAATAACAGAGAGAAAAATCTTCGGGTAACCACTGGATGCAGGTATGGAAAGCGCAGAGGAAATTAGAATGCAGACACTAAAGGCCCTATTTTACAGCATATACAAGTATAATAAATGTAATAATAAGGAGAAGTAGATTTAAACGGTGAGGACTTGATTGTTGTTGGTGCCAGAACGAGAGCTATTTAATAAACGCGGCGATGGATCAGAATCCTCGTGGGAAAATACTTCTAGTTGGAAAATGTAATAAAAGAGAATAGGAAATTATTTGGTTTGAACTGGAAAGAAAAATTGATGAACAAAGGACTGAGGACAGGGTTTGAGGTCGAATAGTCCGTAAAGAGACCTATATAGACAACAAAGAAAAAAAAAATCCGGAAAGCAATCCAATCGTGAAATTACAACGATTAAGTGCAATAATGTAACCGTTGGAATACCGAAATACGATACAAGTGGCATAATATAGGTATATACGTACTTTACATAATACAAGAACGTTTTATAACACATAATTCAAAAACGCGATTTCTAAGTTAACAGAAACGATGTACTTTAGTGTATTGAACACTCCGAACTTTATAGGCGCGTACCGTGTTTTTGAACGGATGGTGGCGCACAATGGCGTGAACTAGTAAGAATTTTATTATTATTTTAAATTTGAAAGCGAGGGAAAACCATATTGTGTTCTGCAAAAGAATATCGTGGTTCTCAGAAATTCGGTGGCGTTACAATTTTTACACTCGGATGCATTTCTTTTCATCATCGTCGCTTATTCGGTTATTCGAAATTTCCAGGAAACGTTTTGTAGGGGTAAGGAAACTCGACAAATGACATCTTTTTAAGTACGAAGCCACTCAGGTAACGTTTCTCTAAAAACAATTTGCAAGCGAATGAGGCTTTTTGACTACAGATAAAAAATATACGGATATATTTTCAGAGACAGAACATAATGCCATAAACGCACGTTGAATATGTTAATATAGTTTTCCCGCAATCTAAACATTTCCCGTCATGTGCCCATATCACGAACTTACATCTATAAAACATTCAAATATAAATTGGTGAAAATATCGAATTTCTGATTGATAATATGATACATTTTGTTTTTGAATCAAAATTATCCGTAGAGCCAAAATATTTTTAAAAATGTCATCGTTTGGAGAATATTAATGTTAATATTTCAAACATTTTTCGGGTCTTTATGTACGATTATTTCTTATCGAATTACCAAAAAAACGAAAACAGTACATTACTTATCCTAAAAAATCACCAGTAGAAATTTGGGTAAAACGCGTAGGTAGTGTATAGTTGGTTGACTACTCCGCGCGCAGCGCGATCAGCCGAAATCTGTTGCAACTTGCGAGCGCCGTCTACCTATGTTTTAACGTCTATCATATCCGATGGCGCAAATAGTGAGTACGCATACATAGGGGTAGTTTAGCTATTTAAAAACTCAGCCAAACCAAATCAACCAAGTCTATATCAATATTATAGAGGCATCAGCGCCCCTCCAATATATTTCGGCTATTTTCCCCTATGTTCATATTATTACCGCGCGGTTCCCACACACAGGATAATAGTGTATTTGTATAGAAAGAGCAATTAATGCCAGACCGTTGTATTATTATGATATAATACGTATCCAATAATAATAATAATTATAACGATAATGATAATGATAATATTAACATACTCACCGTTATCGGTACACGTCGGCTTCGTCATATAATTGATTTTCGTCCGAAATTCGAAAAAAGGGTACGTAGGTACAGGTACGATATCATTAACAATATTAACGCGTCGGTACAAAATAATATAATAATAATATAGTGAATTCTGAACAGTGCGCTGTGTAATAATATGAATTTAACCCCGTCGATACAAATTATCATTGTTTATTATAATAATAAATTTGCATTTACATTTGCACGTATACCATAATATTATATTTTTCATACATTTAAATAATTAATATGCAAAAACCTGTTGGAAAAAAAAGATAATAATAACGCTGGAATTCGATATTTTTTTTCAGCGAATCATTTTGCTATTTCGAACTTCTATCCTGTTTCTGTATGAGCTTTAACGGCTCTCGAAGGACTTTCTGTTGTATGCATTCCTCCATCCGGCTACTGTCCACGCTGCCACCCGCTATCGTTATTTCCCGCGAGTGCATATGTATATGATTAAATCGTCTATAATTTTATTTTCCCAAGCGAAATTGGTGGAGACAAATTTAAAAATCGATTTTCGTCGAAAACTAATATTCTAATAAAAAATGTCTGAAAGTAGACAGGAGTAAATTTGACCATTTTATGTCATCGGGAACTAATCGAAAGGGCCTCTGAACAACTACAGTAATCATTAAATTTGCGTACGAATTTATACATATCATTAAACTCGTATATTTACGTACTCATATTATTTGCATACTATTTAATACCTAGTATAAATTGATGGAAATAGCACAGAAAGTGTTTGATTATGAACAATTATATCATTAGGGTACATTCAAATATTTTTCAACACTCGTTATTAAGAGGACGGTACACATGCATTTGTTGCACGATACAGTTAAAACACGCTTCTTACGCAGACTACACAGAACTCGTTTTATAGTAAAAATACCTATTATAAAATCAAAAGAGAACAACCTGGGGGCAAGACGTTGCGTTTTTCCATTTTCTCCGAATATAACAGTAAATTTACCGTATATAAATAACGACTTTTTCAATGTTTTTTTTAACTAGCTAAAACTTAAAAAAAAAAAAAAAACATTTTCAAAAAAACGCAACGTCTTGCCCACCGGAATATTAATTTCATAATATTTGCTTTTACTCCAAAACCAAAACCAAACGAGTTCTGTGTAGTCTGCGTAAGTATGTTTTTACTATATCTTGTGTTTGTAAGATAGAAACAACAAATGCACGTGTAACGTCTTCTTGAGTTTTATAAATGTTCTTACGACATTGATTTTCTCAAATGCTTCTTTACACACCAACTTTAGTATAGAAAAACATCGTTTACATCCAGCTTGAGTGACTGAAAATAATACAATAATACAAAGATTCGGGTAAGCATTGGTAAATAAATTATATTTTACTATTATACCGAAACAACGAAGAACACAATATCTGTTCTTTGACGTCTTCTCGGTATTATGAAAATACGTTTTATTTTCCATATAATTTTGTTCTGCAAAGAATAAACAAACTTATAAACAAACTGAATGCAAATCAAATTTAAAAATCGAGCATACGAACCGTCATCTTCTTCAATTGAAACCAATTCAACACCGTTCTTACTTCTAATTATTATATTTATCACTAACATAATTACTTTATCGATTTTGCCCGTTTGGACAATATACGCCTATACTGGTTGTGTTTAAAAGATCTAATGATCATCAATTTGACTGGATATTGATAATTTAAAACATAAAAAAATGTCTCGAGACCCAAGGCGTCATAATATTATGAAGTACGAAGTGGGGTCTAGAGCAGGATAATCCCAGGATTTCTCGATAAGCCAATTCGCCCCTGGAAGTAGGTATATGTAATTGTCTAACAACCTACGTTAATTACATTTTTAGAACGTTTATACGGCCGACCGTTACATATTATATAATATTCAAAAGAATATTTTCAATCTGTACTTGTCGTAAAATAAGCAAATGCGATAGTTACAATGTTTACGAATACCAGTGATATGAGGAAGGTGGGGCCGTCCAGCGACAGAACCCAGGACCGTTTGTCGTTATAGTGTTGCAATGCTTTTAGGTTCACGAGGGCGATCGGGTTTTCCACTCGATATAGATTTTGCCACACCATCATCGTTCGGAAAAAATATATTACCTACATTACATTCGGCGGTCTGCCGGTAGGTACCATTATCCAACGAATTTATATTCCACAACGGCAAAAAATAGGTCGAATGCATTGCAAATGTAGGTATAAGTTGCGGTTAACGCCGTTATTTTACGTTATACGATTTTGTGCTGTTAGTTTTAATGTTGTAGAGTGTATTGACCTATAACCCCAAATTTAAAGGTAAAGAATATTATTGTCTGCGTTTAACGTTGGTTTTTTTCTCGATCCAGATTTTAATGCGCATTCGACGATTTTTAAATTGAAATATTTCACATATTTGTAACTTACTTGACAATTTTAATATCGAGACGAAAAATATCTACGTACAAAAACAGACAATTTTCCTTACAACTTTAAGTTCGATACAAAATCGGTTAATATAGTCTAATATTAAAACTAACGGTACAAAATCAATTTTAGATTCTAAACGGAGTGAGGAATGTATTGGTCTTACAATGATGTTTATTTTTTTTTTTTGGACAATTTCTGTCTGTGTGTGCTAATAATAGCAGAGGGCTAAAACGGCTGATACTAATAATATAAAAATCACTTTTAATACGAATAATTATATTTAAAAACTCCTTATTTTGAATATACATAAACTTAAATGTAACTGGCTTAAATTTAAAAAAATAGAAATTTTAAAATCTATATATATAAAATAACTTGTTCTGACTGATTCATCATTGCTCAGCCCTAACTACTGGACAGATCGGGCTGAAATTTGGCATACATATAGCTATTATGACGTAAGCATTCACTAAGAAAGGATTTCTGAAAATTCAACCCCTAGGGGGGTAAAATACGGGCTTTTAGGTATATTTGGTATGAATATCTAATTTCTAATTTATTTATTTATTTTGGTTTTGTTCAAGAGATACTTTGGTGATACGGATGATAATTTGGTTGTCACGGATGAGAAAACTATTATAATTATAATTATTACTGTTATTTATGCTATCAAAACAGAACACTTTTAGTCTGTCGAAGGTGGTGGACTACTCACTTTCAACCTAAATGGTTTTCATTCAATTATGACACGATCAAAATCAAAAATTAATATGGGTAAAAAAAATATAATATAAATTGACACGGGCAATGCCGGGCACGGGACAGCTAGTATGACATATAGTGTATTGTTGACAAAGCAACGCTGTCGACGGAACGCCGCACAGAATCGTTTTTCGTTAGAAGTGGTTAATCTTTACGTAGAAATGTACATTAAATTTCCCCTGCTGTACTACGTTCCCGACCTCTACAGCAGCGGCCTACCTCCGTGCGAAATGAGTCAGTCTTTTTTTTTTACAATACAATTAAAAAACTACGCACCTAAGTTCCTAATATGAAAATATCATTCTTCATGTTTATCCGACAAAATCGAGTTTGTTTTTATTCTGATCATACAACATTAATTACATTAAATCACCTATAACAGTGGCTGCGCCCGTCCTCGTCATTATCCGAGGACAGCTTTTGTTATATGTATAAAACGTATATTAAATAAAAGCCTACGTATTAACCTAATAAGAACGAAAATTAATTTATTGAATTCCACGTAAATACTCGTACCCGTTATATGTGATCATCGCTCAAAAATATTGAATGATATTATATTATAGGTATACGTAATAATATTACAATTTATCGACCGATACGGGACGAAAACGGCACACGCGGGTCCTTGTTAAATTCGACTCTTGGGAATATTGCGTTCCCGTCGTTCATAATATGATTATAATATTATGACGCGGTTTGGGCGCGGGTGCGCGACAAAATATTATTGTGTTAAAACGTCATTCAATTATCCGGCCGACACGGTGTGTATAATATTTTATTCGATTTGACGGCGACCATTCGTTTTTCATCAGCCGTCTGATTATAAAATTTTTATGCAGGCCACTAGTCGTGGTCGCTCGATTCGATGTTAAATTATAATATTACGTTTCTTCCTCGATTCGACCGGGGAGTTTTTATAGTTTTATATAATTCGATGTTGGTAGTGTATAATTACGTAATCGATGACAAATATTTTATTCAAAAAAAAAAAAAATAATAATAAATAGGTAAGCAACGGTATAATATTTTTTGTTGTGTTTTCCGCTGCCTTTACGTATTAGCAAAGGCACGTTTCGTTGCAGATGACCTCTCAGCCGCAGGCTACCGGGCCGCACTGTCCGCGAAGTTTAACAGACGTAGGCGTTATAGGTAACGTAAATAATAGTGTTTGTTATGGGGTTTTTTTTTTTTTAATCGTATTTCACGGCTTTTACCAAAAGTTCACGATTTTTCGACGCGGAATTACTTCACCAGATTTCCGTCCCATAGTGAACTCAGAAACATTATTTACGGTACGAATTTACATTATGCAGTGTCGTATATTTTTAATAGAGTTTTTTATCCTCCCGGATTACGTCGATTGCAGCCTACACGTATTTCTTTGCTGAGCACCCGATGTCGAAAATTGTCAAGTCGATTGAACGCGGACGTGTTGTTATCGAGCCGTTTTTCGAGAGTTCGCCTAGGTTAGGTTGAGAGTTCGCTATATTATATAGCCGTAGATATTCGATTGAATTAAAAACAATTATCCGCGGCTTTTGCGATGTATCCAAGTATTATATTATGTTGCGTAAGCCGAGATGAAGGATCGTTATTTTTAAGTGGTGAGTACTTACACATTTTTTTTTTTTTTGATACGGACTAATAACGGCCGTCTTATATGTATATATAAAAACGATTATTATTATTTTTATTAACGGTCTCGGAGCGAGAAGTAGCTCGGTCAGATGACGGTCGTATATAATAAATAATACTGTGCAATACAGCACTGATCTAAAAGCAGATAACACGAGGCACGAATTTAACTGGCCTATAAAAACACCAATCTAAACCGTATATTATATCCATCCGAACCCATAAAATACTAATCCAAACTGTAAATTTATCCAGACCTATAAAAATACTAATCTAAAGGGAGACAGTCGTGTCGTATAAGAGGTATTTTTTGGACGTTCGTCCCTATCGCATTGCACCCCTCCTCCTCAAAAAATGTTTCGGCGTACTGGAATCCAATCCGGTCCCGCATGCGGCTTAAGAAATTTCCCCTATCGCTGTAAAAATAAACGGTTTTCATCTGTTAAAAACTGTTTTATTGGTACGCCCGATGATATAAACTCGATAATATCCGACGATATTATTATAATATTTTACTACCTATCCCAATATTTTATAGTATCTTCAATTATTATTTTATTGTTCGCTGATAGGGCGTCTAGATAACGATAAAATATATTAATCACGTATTACTAACACTGTTATGATAGTATCGAATATACCGTAGTGCGATGAGATACTGTCAGATATACGATTAAAGTTTTTGAATTACTCGATGTAGTTACACGTAAAACTTGAAATATATATTTGCAAAAAAAAAAAAAAACAGTTCAATATAAAACCAAATACCAACAATTTTGGATTTAATGACGGGAGTTGGTCTAATTCATTGGCGAGGATTGTGGAAAAAAAAAAATAGCATTTTGCCTTGTAATATATAGTATGTTATACATAGAATATCTATATAAAGTTTAAGGGTGGACAATAAAAAAATTATTGTATTAATATTATAGCTAATCACATCACTGGGCTTAAATTTAGCGGCTATAGTTGTTTATGGCTGCCCAAATATTTAAATCGCATTGTAAAAATAAATTATTTTAGATTCTGAGTGTAACGAGGAATTTATTGGCGTCTTTATTTTATTAGTGCATCGGGGAGTTGATTTTTTAAATTTTTTTTGTAGTGTTCTTGAAAAATGAAAATACCCGGGAAAAAACATAAGAGAAACGGGCAAATTTACGAATTAAAAATTTATTGTTAATTACGATTTTTTTTTTTTTTTTTTTTAAATCCAGTTTACAATTTACACAAACTATTAGCTATTTCTAAGTGTGTTATTATTTTCTAAAAATTCTGTCAATTTTTGAGCTATTTATTATATTTTAGATATTTTATCATTTGAAATTTTCATGTTGCTTTAGTTTTTATTTGATTGCATAAGGTATTTCGGACATTTCTCTCTCCAAAACGAAAACGGTCATATTTTCTATTCAGAATTTTATTTTAGGTTGCATCTTTTTTAAAATATCACTAGCGCGAGAAATATTGTATTGTATCTTATCCAAGGAGATAAAATGTTGGAAAAAGTGAGATATGACCTTTTTCGTTGAGGCAGGCAACTTTAAATCATTTTTTCGTTAGCGCTTTGTTTGCACAATATTGTAAGAGGATACAAAAAGAAAATGGATAAATAAATAATTAAATAAATAAATAAAATAATTAAAGAAAAAACAAACAAGTTTATTATATATATTTTTTATCATAATATATGGATATACATAATTATAATGTTTTTATAAAACAAAAAAAAGTACAAATAAAAACAAAACCATATAAATAATAAACTGACCC